ACAGGCTTTAAATTAATACACAAAATTTCTGTCCATTCTCATCTGTAGTCACTCTTTTCAATTCATGGAAGATTAGGTTTTTATGTAATTCCAGAAGTATCTATAAAGATAACACAAGATCTATAGGCAACACAGTCACCATTATCTACAGCTTGTCTATCAAAGCATTAACATCCATAATACCTTTGACCACTGGTTTTCAAATAGCTTATATACAGCTAGAGAGAGCGCCTGAAATAGTCAAGAGTACTCTTCTACAGAGTACATGGAGGGGAAGTATATTCTTGGAAAAGTTATAGTTCTAAACATTTATTTATTGGGTACCTTAGATAATCATTTAACAACGACAACAACAACAATCTTTTGTCAAATGCCCACTCTGCTAGATACCTGTTTACAGCAATAAATAAGACAGATGTGGTCCCTACTCTCAAAGAGTTTATAATCTAACAGTATTCATCAAAGAATATATTCCCTTGGCCCTTCCATGGCTGGCTCCTCACCCTTCACGTCTCAACTTAAATGATATCTGCACACAGAAGCTTTCCCTACCAGTCTTTTCCAAACTGGTTCCCCCTCTTTCTAGTCAGTCTCCAAATTACCTTTCATAGTACCTACTACAATCCTTAATTATCTTCTGTAGGTTTGTTTAGTTATTTATGCATCTCTTCCTACTAGGCTTCATAAAACAGAGGACTTGTATTCTCCACTGTATTCCAAGTGCCTTGATCAGTAAATATTTGCTGAATGCTGAATTAAATAAGATATAAAAAATAATAAAGGGTGGCTCACACCTGCAATCCCAGCACTCTGGGAGGCCAAACAGGAGAATCGCTTGAGCTCAGGAGTTAGAGACCAGCCAGAACAAGAGCGAGACCCTGTCTCTACTAAATACAGAAAAAAATCAGCTGGGCATAGTGGCGTGCATCTGTAGTCCCAGCTTTTCTGGGAGGCTGAGGCAGAATGATTGCTTGAGTCCAAGAGTCTGAGGTTGTAGTAAGCTATGATGATGCCACTGTACTCCACCCATAGCGACAGAGTGAGACTCTGCCTCAAATAATAATAATAAAGGTTTTCACTATTTTATCCAAAAGACCAGGATGTAGGTTAGCCATTAAAGAGAGTAATGAGAGGTAGATCCAGACTTTTTCAAAGAATAAAATTCAGAGTTCTAAATATCTCCCCATCAGCCATGGCAGCCCTTAGATATGGTCATAAGCATATATATTTTGGTGTATAAATATGCCGAGTGTATGAAACCCCCAAGATGTTCACTACTGTCCCACAGACATCACTAAGACCCAAGAGTTATACCTGCTGGCAAAAAACACCCCAAATTGGTTCTTATGAGTTGAATTATGTCCCCCTGTCCTCATTCATACACTAAAGCCCAAACCCCAGAACCTTAGAATGTGACCTTATTTGGAGATAAGGTCTTTACAGAGGTAATCAAATTTAAATGAGGTCGTTAGGGTAGGACCTAATCCAATATGACAGGTGTCCTTATAAGGTTAGGAGGAATGAGGAGTGACTGCTGAATTGGTACAGGTTTCTTTGAAGGGTGGGTGAAATGTTCTCTAATTAGATAGTGGTGATGGTTGCACAACTCTAAATATATTAAAACCACAGAATTATATACTTTTAAAAGGTAAATTTTACAGTATATGAATTATTAATATATCTCAATAAAGTTACTATAAAAAAAAAAGAGGAGCATCCTTGGATGCCATGGCAACAAATGAGATTGATGTAAAAATACTCTGGACAAAAGTATCATAGAAATATTGTACTACATTTTAGATATTATATATTTCTTGCTCATAAAAACATATATATGTATACATTGTGACAAAAGTATGGCCTTCTACTAACTCTGCTGGTTGCTATCTTGTCCTAGGAGAATCTTTTTGTTGTTTTTTTTTTTTCTGAGACAGAGTCTTGCTCTGTTGCCCGAGCTAGAGTGCTGTGGCATCAGCCTAGCTCACAGCAACCTCAAACTCCTGGGCTCAAGCAATCCTCCTGTCTCAGCCTCCCAAGTAGCTAGGACTACAGGTATGTGCCACATGCCCAGCTAAATTTTTTCTCCATATATTTTTAGTTGGCCAATTAATTTCTATTTTTAGTAGAGATGGGGTCTCACCTTTGCTCAGGCTGGTTTTGAACTCCTGACCTTGAGCAATCCGCCCGCCTTGGCCTCCCAGAGTGCTAGGATTACAAGCATGAGCCACAGAACCTGGCCCTAGGAGAATCTTAATTCACATCAAAGTACTTAACTCAGCTAGTCCCTGAATATTCAGTTAATAAAATGATAATAAAATGCAATCTAAACTTGCTGCTAATGTAAACCCCAGGGGCTTGTCCTGCTTAAACAGAGAAAAGGAAAAAAAGCTGCAAACACACCAAGGGCCTATATTAAGGCCAGAGAGGATAACAAGAATCTAGATCTACTGAAAATGTTATCCTCCTACATTCTTTTGGGAGCAGCTCATCAGGGTTTTCTATAGAGAAATTAGGCAAGTGAACAACTATAAACATACTGCCTTCATAGAATAACCAGTAACACTGAAACAAATCTTTCTCTTATGCTGTTTAATAAAAACACAGTATCTCATTTTTATTTCAATAGTATTTCTATTGAGGCATAAATGTTTACACCCATTTTAATGAAAAGGAAACTGAGGCACAAAGTCACCCAGTCAATGAGAAAGAGTCAATGCCAAGCTCTGTGCCCTTTTGCTCTGTCACGTTGAGTCCTGCTTTCCCCCTTCATGAACCCTCTCCTGCCTTTCATAGGACTGAGTCGGCTTTTGCTCATGTTATTTTCTAACATGAACTGAGCCCCCAAGAAATCTTAATTTCCTCATTTTTCTTATTTGTTGCATTCATTGTTGCATATGTTGCATTCATAAGTCTCCATAAGAAACACTTGTTCAAAGTATATGTTAAATGTTTTTGAACAAATAAATCAATCTGACCAGGCCTCTCTGGTTAGTTTCACATTTCATGAATAATGAATGAAAAGATTCAAAAATCTATAAAAATTTTTACAAGGATAGATTTCCTTCCCAGTTGCTGAAAAAAAGTTTTAGAACTGAGTCAGAAATGCTGTTACTGAGCTGGCCCTGTGAAATGACTTCTTGAACTGTTCAACTCTTACTTCTCAGCCAATCAAGTGACTGGATTCTCTAGATGAGAAACCTACAGGCCAGCTCTTTAGCTCTGCCTATCACCTGAATCCTCACCTTTCACAAATATTCTGATATTTCCCACCAACTAACTACTTTCCAAGTTATCAGGCATCATTTTCTTTCTTTCTTTCTCCCTCTCCTTCTCCTCCCTTCCCCACAAGTAGGATTTACTTCACACTTTCTTGTGAGGCATGAAAGTTTTCACTGGTCTCAGAATACCAATGGGAAGCAACTATGACATAAATGGTGAAATAACTTCATATAGTGTCACCCATCAAAGTAGTGGAAGATTCGGGGAATTTACTATACACTCTCTAGCTAAGCCTTTCCCCGGGATCGAAGCACCAAATACTAACCACATGAACAAGGCAGTGCTCTTATGAGAACATTAGTGCTTAAGGATGAAATGAGAGTAGTTCTTTTTTCTAGGGTAACTGAACAGTTAGTAGTTTTATTTTCAACATATAAAAGGGGCTGAAGTACAATAGTAAATCCAGGCCTTAATTTTCAAAAGTAGGTGGAATTACAGACCAGGGCATCAATAACATTCCTGCATTTGTTAAAAAGTTAAGTTCTGTATTTAAATTAGATTTTCATCTATTCAGCCCTCAACCTCCTTCTTTACCATGATTTTACAGCCTTGACCTTGGTTAATTAATAATTCCATGACTTCACCCTATTAAGGTACAAGTAAAGAATTTTTACTTAATGTGGAAAAAACCAAATTTTAAATAGACACACATATTTCCTTTCATATTTAAATAATATGAAAATCCTTTTCTCTAGAAATTTTCCCTAAGCTTAAAAAATTTAAAGAAGGCATCTTTTAATATTTGAATTAAATGAACGAACATAATTTTACCAGTGATAAGATGTTCTCTAGGTAAAGGAACCACAGACTTTTAGAGCTATAAGAAACATCAGAACTCATTAACACATCAATTGCCACACTAGAAAAAAATGTTTTCCCTGGGGCCACGGTGTTTTATTAAAACAAAATGATCCTTTCTATTTTTTTTTTTTTTTTGAGACAGTCTCGCTTTGTTGCCCAGGCTAGAGTGGGTGCTGTGGCGTCAGCCTAGCTCACAGCAACCTCAAACTCCTGGGCTCAAGCAATCCCCCTGCCTCAGCCTCCTGAGTAGCTGGGACTACAGGCATTCGCCACCATGCCCGGCTAATTTTTTCTATATATATTAGTTGGCCAATTAATTTATTTCCATTTACAGTAGAGATGGGGTCTCGCTCTTGTTCAGGCTGGTTTCAAACTCCTGACCTTGAGCGATCCGCCCGCCTCGGCCTCCCAGAGTGCTAGAATTACAGGCGTGAGCCACCACGCCCAGCCAAATTTGTTATCTTTTATTGTTTTCTGTGAGTTACGTGCAACACAAGCCACATTTTCAGAATTAAATTGTCAATATTAATTGTAAGAATAAGAATGTCAGCAAGTAAGATTTTCACTAACCAACTTCAGGGTTTTGCTTCAGGAGGCCCCAGGCTCAAAACTAGCCTGAGTTAAACATAACTTACAGGGCAGTCAATGTGTTAAGCACAACTCCATTTTGAAGATGAGAAATCTCCCAAGTTAGTGATTATCAAATTCCATAAATGATTAATCCTAGGCATGGGTTTTGGCTCCTGACTCCTAGTTTAATACTGCTAAATTCTTGTAAATGGAAGATACTTAACTGGTTGATACTGGTATCAAAGGCAAAAAAATCAAAAATCAGAATTGCTCTTACCACATACATGAATGACATTACACAGAAGCTCTGTTTCAACTTTAGTATTTTACACTAAATTCTTGTGACTCACCCTGCTGAGTTGATCCAATAACCTTTGGTTCTGTTCTGATAGTTCCTGAACAGCCCGTGTTTTTTCTCGATCTGCTTCCCGCAGATGAACTTGCTGCCTCTCTAACTCGTCCTGTAGCTGTTTGACATCACTCTCCAGCTCTGACACTCGCCCTTCCCACTCCCCTTCTCGGTTCTCAAATCGTCTTCTCAGTTCATGTTTCTCTTGTTCTAAGTGCTGGGTGAAAAGTGAAGAGGATTTAAATACTGTTAAAAATTCTGAGCCCTTTTTTTTTTCCCCACACCTCTACTAACTTCTTTTTCCCAGTTAGCACAATAAAATGCCCTGCAACATAGGACAAGTTACCCAATACACAGCTACAAAAATATTCCCTTCTTCCACAGCAGGGAAAGAGTTGCTTTCACAAGAACACCACCATTCCTACTGAAAATACTCAAATGTTATGTTTATTCTTACCCTGGGGCATGAGGCTCTAGATCTGAGAATTGACTTGAAATTTAGCAAGTCATCTAATCCAGTGGTCCCCAACCTTTGTGGCACCATGGACTGGTTTCATGGAAGACAATTTTTCCATGGATGGGGGTGGGAGGATGACAGGGAGGGATGATTTGAGGATGATTCAAACCTCTGTAATGATAATCTGTATTTGTGGCTGCTCCCCAGTGCTAGCATCACCATCTCAGCTCCACCTCAGAGCATCAGCCATTAGATTATCATAAGGAATATGAAAACTAGATCCCTCTCGTGTGCAGTTTACAGTAGGGTTCCTGTTCCTATGAGAATCTACTGCTGCTGCTGATCTGACAGGAGGTGGAGCTCAGGTGGTAATGCCAGCCATGGGCAGCAGCTGTAAATACAGATGAAGCTTTGCTTGCCCACTGCTCACCTTCTGCTGTGCAGCCTGATACCTAACAGGACACGGACTGGTACTGGTCCCAGGCCTGGGGTTGGGGATCACAGATCTAACCAATCAGTGATTTATCAATCATTTAAACAACTAAAAATGAGTCCCATAACCAAAATGCTCATTACTTTTTTTAAGGAGGCTTCTTTTGGAATTATCTATTATGCATGACATAATACCAGGCTTTTATAATCACAGAATTTTTCAGAGATCAAAAGAACTCCAGAGATCCTTTAGATTAACCATCTCTTCTTACAAATGAAGCAACAGAGGATAAGAGACGTTCAGTGACTAGCTCAAGGGGCGGTCAGTATGACTAAATGGCAGAACTAGGATTTGTGTCTAAGTCACTGGACTTAGTACTCTAAGTCATAGCTCAATAAATATTTGTTACTATACATAGCACTGTATTTCAAAATCATTAAGACAATCCCAGGTTCGGGACTACTTTAAATCATGGCCTATTAATTAAGCCTTGCATATTTACTTCTGAGCCATTCAATCAATCTTGAGTGCCTACGATGGGCTAAGCACTGTCTTAGGGACATAGTAATGAGCAAAACAGACACAGTCCTTGCCCTTATGGAGTTTTCAATCTAGTGGGAGAGAATGACAAAAGTAATAAACTGTTTTAAAAAAATAAAATGTGTGTGGAAAATGGTATGCAGGAAAAGTACAGATGGTTTGAAGCTCAATAAAAAATAATTCCTTTGAATCAAAGGATATATCTTTTTGTTTCCATGAGATAAACATGTATATTTTTCTATAGAGGCAAGTATGTTTTCCTACTTAAAAAGCATAGTAAGTACAACAGCCAACTATGTACTTCAAGGAGTATATGAAATGTAAATTAAACGACTTTTAAATTTTGGGGCTTCTCAGAAAAGTTCTGGTGTAATTGTTCAAAAGAATACCCATCTTGACCCCAATTTCTGAGATTGTGATTTACTTAAGAAGGGGATGAGGTCTAAGCATCTATGTATGTGTATGTATTCATATATCTGTATGTGTATATATATTTGGTTCTTCAGGAAATTCTGATGCACTGAAGGCTGACATCAAACACTTGAGATTGTTTCAATAAACTAAAATGAGCATTTGAATCTCCTACTTCAGAGTACTCAGTCATCTCTTCACCTTGGGAAACTACACTCCTATTCTATTGATGTTCGCACCTTTCAAAATATTTTTTGGAATGCTTCTTTTGGAAAGTCTTAGGGGACAGCTTACAGACATGCAAAAAAATCAGTCCCATTACTTCACATATGAGGTGTGTCTAAAAAATGAGATTATCCTACTTCATTCTGCCATCTTATTCCCCTTACTTAGCTCTGAGTGACTTGTGAATGTTTCTGAAAGTCAAATTTACCCCCTAATAGATGAAAATTTACCATGATTGAGAGCAGTCAAAAGAACCTGCCAAAAGATAAAAACGGTAATCTAAAATTAAAATTTTAAGCACAATAGCAAAGGCAGTTTTCCCTGAAAACTCCTAAGTTGACCACTTTAAGAAGATAAATCATTTGGATATGGCCACTTTAGTAACTTCATTGAAAAATTCACATCACTTTATACAGTTTCAGTTTGAAGCATGTGGGAAAAGGAATTAAAAGGGAGGAACTTCTACTCATCACCATGAGAATTTTTTGCTCTATGCTTTCCTCATATTGCTAACTTCCAAAAATGAGAATGTTTTAGTCACTGCAGAAACTTCAGAAAGATGTGATGCAGAAACAAATGCTAATGCAAACCTAAAATTGTGTACTTGGTTTTACTGAATTTTTCCAAAATGAAAAAGATTGAGCAGAAGGCAACGGCAAGAACTCAGTAATCACAGTGTTACTGAGAGGCCAGATAAATTAGGCTTGTGTTCTAAAAGAATAGAGAGACTTAAAAATATTCAGCAAACAGCTGTTAGTGAACAGCCCAACCAAGCAACTAAAACAATCCAATCCAATCGGGAGAGGGGTTGAGGACAGGTGGTGCTCATCAGTCTATTCCTTCCTTACATTTCCTTGGACATGAGACAAACTTGCTATTTCAGGTTTCCCAACCCTTTGACAAAATCAGGACTATCCTATTAATGAACATATAGAATTTAGCCTTTGGTCTACTCTGAGAAAATAAAAGTTTCTCCTAAAATATTTTCGATTAAGTGCTAACTTAAACAGTAAACTCTAGGGAGGTCAGATTCTGCCTATGCTCTCCCCTGTTTCTCAGGGTTATATGGCCTCTTAAAAGTTAATATCGGGCAGGGCGCGGTGGCTCACGCCTGTAATCCTAGCACTCTGGGAGGCTGAGGCGGGTGGATTGCTTGAGGTCAAGAGTTCGAAACCAGCCTAAGCAAAGACCCCGTGTCTCTATTATAAATAGAAAGAAATTAATTGGCCAACTAATATATATAGAAAAAATTAGCAGGGCATGGTGGTGCATGCTTGTAGTCCCAGCTACTGGGGAGGTTAAAGCAGGAGGATTGCTTGAGCCCAGGAGTTTGAGGTTGCTGTGAACTAGGCTGATGCCATGGCACTCACTCTAGCCTGGGCAACAAAGCGAGACTCTGTCTCAAAAAAAAAAAAAAAAAAAAGTTAATATCAAAACTGTCAAGGTCATCAAAACCAAGGAAAGGCTAAGAAACTGTCACAGCTAAGAGGAGCCTAAGGAGACACTAAAACAAAACATATGAGGTATGCTGGATGGGATCCTGGAAAAGAAAAAGGTATTAGGTAAAGGCTAAGGAAATCTGAATAAACTGAGGATTTTAGTTAGTAATAACATATCAGTATTGGCTCACTGATTATGGCAAATGTACCATACTAATTTAAGATGTTAATAACAGAAGAAATTGGGTTCAGGGTATATGGAAATTCTCCATACTATTTTCCCGTTTTTCTGTAAATCTAAAACCATTCTAAAAAACAGAGTTTAATACTGAAAAAAAAGCAAATAAATGTCATTGGCCTACATAAAATAGATCTTTATAGAAATGAATTTCTGCAAAAAAAAAAAAAAAAAGAACCACCAAAAAAGTGACACCATTCTGATAAGTCCTGGACATTGTTCTTTAAAAATACAAAGAAAAAATACTGTTCTTTAAGAGAACCAAGTACTGAATGCAAATCAGGACCCCTGAGTTTTCTTCTCTAAATCTACTAGGGATTCCCATTATGTACTCATTTTCATCTTATTGTTTTTGCCCTTAAAAAAATAGTACTAGAACCATGAGAATTGGCCTAGGGGAACACAACATAACTGAGAGAAGGGGCTAATTGTAGATGCAAACGAAATAAAGTTTGTTAAAATGGCTTCAGAACTTTAAGCCTCTGCAAATCTAATTCAGTAGATTTAGTACAGTCAATTCAAGGGTGGAAAAAAATGACCAAAATCTTAAGTTTTTCCAGTTAACTTGAATCTTCATTTTAACCTTGAGAGATGTGTACCTAAAAAAAAACCTTCTGTGTTAACATTTAAAACGTTAAAGATTTTAAACAGCATGCCTTTAATGACAGAGTAGTGTAGGATCAAGTACTTTATGTTTTATATGACAAAACAAAATCTTGGGTGGCACACAGAACCACAGAGGTATTCAACATTAACTAATGAATAGGTAGAAAGGATCTTGAAAATGGCTTATTTGTCCTTAAGTTAGAAAGGTGCCAATTCTGAAGTAGTAAAGGACCAGATGGGACTGAAATAAAACCAGTCTCATTATTTAATAGTGAAACCACCATTCTCTCAGAATCCACTCAGTTTACCTTTCAAACCAAAAAATATGTTTGATTCCACTGTCTGACAGTTTGTAGAAAATTATAAATGCTTTTTTCCCCTTGATCAAGTTCTCTTATGAATAAATACTTCTTAAAGTAAGGGCTCGTCCTCTACTCCCAAGTGTTTAATTTAATTGAGAGTGCAGCAACTGTGTTAAATGACAGTACTTTGTCTAGACAGGCATTCTAAAATCTAGGTTGCTCAAAAAAATATACTGTGGGGAAAATTCACTTGCAGGTATCAAATGAAATAGTCCTCTGTAAATCAGGTTTGTCACTCTCATATTAATACTAAAGGAATTAACCACTGATGGCAATCTCATTATACCTTTTTAAATATACATTTTAAAAAACTTAAACTTTTTATAATTTTCAAACATACCAAGAAGAAATAGTATAACTGACTCCCCCATCACTCAGTTTCAACAATGATCAATACTTGGCTTTTAAAAAATTGTTTATTTTTTAAATTATAGTAAAGCATATGTAACAATTTACCATCTAAGCCATTTTTAAGTATACATGTCAGTAGTGTTAACTACATTTATACTGTTGTGCAATTTCCAGAATTTAAACTTTTAAAACTAGAGTTCATATGCTGACCCTCAGAGTAGTGAAGATTTTTAAAGAGTAGTTTAAGAGTTTTAAACTATCATTATTATTCATCAAGTAAATAAGAAAAATGTCCAATTTATTCTTTTACAAGAAAAACTTTTGTTATGGAATTGTGAAATCTTTTTCCTTTGTTGAAGAAATGTATAAAGGCTCCACATGGAACCCAGGATGTGTGTAATTGCACACTCAGGATTACTATGAAATCTATCACTAATCAAACTGATATGATGGTCCTTTCAAGTTAACTGTCTCTTCAATCAAGTCCCTCACTGAAGGAATTTCAAATCACAAGTTTAAATCTCTGCAGTAGTGCTTCTTTACAAAGTTGTGTAATTGAATCTCCTTAGTAGAAAAAAAAAAAAAAGACAGCCTTTTTATTTCTAGAGTTCTATTTCAAGTGAAAATTAAACAATTCAATTCATTAGGTTGGTTTTTGGCAGTCTACCTATAGGTTTCACAAACAACTTTTCAGAGAGGTATCTCAGGAGTTCATCAACTGGCAGACACAGTTAACAGGTCAACTGAACTACAGGGCACTCACTGGTTTCCTTTTTCCCCCTGATTTACTTTTATGTCATAGGACTACAGACACTCAAATCTTATTACACAAATGTTTCTGAATCTACATTCTGACTGTTCAACCAGTAGCAGTGATATGGAACCTGATTGGGGTCAATTTCAAACCTCATTCAGGTCAGTACTATTCCCTTGTTGTAACTAAGAATGAAAAGAACTGGTTGCAAACCAGGTGACAATAGTAAATGCACAGGCAGAAAAGGTTAAGCTCATCTCCACTGTCACAGATGACCCTTTTGCAATCTAATTTTTAGAAATGCTGGCATTCTGTGCTGCATTCAAGGCCCTTTTCTAGTTAAGGGCAAGAAAACAGATGTAACACTGACAGACGCTGGTCCAAAAACTGGCAGAAATATTACAGATACTTTGAGAGATATTTATAAAGGAAGTTACAGTAATATGGTTCTCATAGGTTGCATTTGGTTAACCAACTGCAAGCCTGAGACCCAGAACACAGAAAAGTAGTGTTTAAATGCACATAAATATTGAGGCCCAAATTAAATCCACTACCATTGGTCACATGTTGAGAGGCCCGGCTCGCCTGATTTCTGCAATGGAACCACTTTCCTAATCCCTGAGTATTTGAAGGGCTATATAAAGCTCCTTTAGGGGCACTTGTTTCCCACAACTCTGAGCTGCCAGGAAGTTAAGACAAGGGCATCTAGAGGCCTTAACGTCAAAACTGGAAAGCTTTAGGCTAACACCCTGATTAGAGATTAACTACTCTGAAAACCTGGAGCTTTTAATTTTAAATATTTTTATTTTATAAGCACATTTTAAATGCTTCCCGACTTTCTGATATCTCTCTGTGTGCAGACATCACCTCAGTGCTGTATAAATTAGTCATACTGTAAGCTCTATTTTAGATGCTGTGTACAGTACATATATAGAACGGCCCACAGTGGCTGGAGCTGTGCATGGACCCATTTGCTGTGTGCAGAGTAGGAAAGTCAGGTGGGTTCAATGAATGCCCTGATCTAATAATCAGAAAACCTCCATGTTCGTTCCAGGACATTTTCTGCGAGGTAGGGTGAGCAAGGAAGAAGAGGGCGAGTCGCTCCCCAAACTGGCCAGGGCTGGGTGGGTGCCTGGGGTGCCCCTGCTTCCCACCCCTCCCAGACGGAGGTCCTCACCTCTAGCTTGTCTGTCAGCTCCTTGTGCATCTGCTCGTACTGCCGGCTCATGTCCTGGTTCCTCTCGAGCAGCGCCTTGCCCAGCCGGGCCGCCAACACCAGATCCTTCTCCTTCTGCCGGATTACCGACAGCAGCTCGGGGTCCTGGGCGGGCGGCGGCTGCGGTCCAGCCCCCTCGGCTGTAGGCCCCGGCTCGGCCTGAGGATGCTCCCCGGGGTCGGACGGCCGCTCCCCGGCCGCCAGCAGCGCCAGCTCCTCCTCTAACGCCAGTTCCAGCTCCCCCGGGCCCCCGGGGAAGGAGATGAGGGCGGCGGCGGCGGCGGCGGGACTCCGGACTGCGTCCCCGGCCGCGGCGGGCAGCTCCATGCAGCAGGCGCTGTCCGGCTCGGCGGGTGCTGAAGCGCGGCCGGCCAAGCCCAGGCAGAAGGCGGACATGGCCCGCGCGCGCGGAGCCCGCAGCGGTGCGGCCCGGCCGGCGCGCGCCAGGCGCAGGGGAGGCCCGCCGCGCGCCCCGCGCCGCGCCTCGCGCCGCGGCACGCGCCCCCGGTCCCGCGAGCCCTGGGCGCGGCGCGCGCCGGCCTGCCCCTCCCCCGCGCCGGCGGCACGGGCCCCCGGCCCCCGCCCCCGCCTCAGCTGCTCGTGCGCGCCGGGGAGGAGGAGGAGAGGGTGAGGTGGAGGAGGAGGAGAGGGTGGGAACCGGGAGGCTGAGGAAGGGAGGACTAGAGGACGCGAAGCGCGAGGGAGGATGCGAGGAGGAACGCCGCCGCCGCCGCTGCCGCCGGGTTTTCAGCCGCCCTGTTGCTGCTGCTGCTGCTGCTGCCGCCGCCGGCCGGGCAGCGCCTCACGGGGCGGGCTGCGCTCCGCTGTCGCTGCGACGCTCGCTGCTGCTGCTGCCGGCGGCCGCTCGCTGCAGCCGCGCTCCATGACCCTCGGCTCGGCGGCAGCCCCAACAGCAGCGGCGGCGGCGGCGGCTGCTGCAGGGGCCGAGGCGGCGGCTCCACATCGCGCGCCGCGCGGCCGAGCGAGCTCCTTCCTGCCTTCCCCGGCTCCTCCCGCTCACCGGGCCAGCCGCACCCCGCCCCGGGCTTCCGGCCGCGCCCCCTCCTCCGGGCCTGTGCCGGCGCCTGACGCGCGCGGGCACCTGTTCGCCGCGCCCGCGCGGGATTCGCCGACTCGCAGGTCTCCTCAGCGGCGCCCAGGTGGCGCCGGCGGCCTTAACCCCAGCGCTGCCTCAGGCGCCGGGGGCAGCTGCGCGCGCCGCCGGCGGAGGCGGCTGGCGCATCCCTGACGGTCCCCACAGCCCCTCCGGCGCGGCCACGCCTCTGGCCCTGCGCACACTTAGGGGCGTGGTCCCGCCCTCGGCCCCGCCCCCGGCACGCGCGCCCCGGGGGTGTGGCCTCGCCCCCGGCCTCGCTCTCACCTCGGACGCCGCACGGCCCCGCCCCGGCCTCGCTCTCACATCGGACGCCGCACGGCCCCGCCCCCGGCCTCGCTCTCACCTCGGACGGCGCAGGCCCCGCCCCCGGCCTCGCTCTCACCTCAGACGGCGCAGGCCCCGCCCCTGGCGTCGCTGCCACCTCTGGCCCTGGGCGTGTCTCAGGGGCCTGTGGGGGTCAGTCTTGCCACCGCCTCTTAGGTGGTCCCTGGGCCAAGGGCACTGAGGACGTTCCTCAAAGACGGGTGACCCAAGAGAGACTCACAGTCCCGGAATTCAGGTCTGGGCCCCCACGGGAGCTCCGCAGTCGGGAGAGCGGCGGGAGGAAACGCGGCATCTTAATGGTGATGACTCAGGGATAAGAAGGACCAGGTGCTTCGGAGACCCGCAGCCCCGGAGAGAAAAGGCTGATGTGGAGAGAGAACGGAAAAAACTACTCACGTGGGAACATGAAGCAAAACAATCTCCCTAATAATAACTACTATTTATTTGGCACTTAGCGTGTGTTAAGCGCTTTATATTCATTATCTTAGATAATCCTCACGGAACCTTTTAAATTAAATACTGTCACTCTTCTCGTTTTACAGAGGAGGAAAATAAAGGCGTGAGAGATGGAGTCGCCCACCAAGGTCATTACAACTGGTAGAGCCACTTTGTGTATGGCCAGTCTTGAGGAAGATAAATGGTCATTTGTGACCAAGATGCATTGGGTGGACATTGAATAAAAGCTTTCTGCAGTGATCAAAAGAAGGATTGAAGAGCCCACGGGGTGATTTCCAGTCAGTTCTTCCTTTGACCTCATTGCTGATGCTCTGTGTCTCCTATTTTCAGAAACAATCCCTCCTGGAGCTAGAAGTTGTCCCTATTGTTTCCTTTTCTCTTGGAAGACAACCCATTTTTTAGTTAGATCATACATTTATTTTTTCATCCCAGTGAGATGGAAATTTCAGGACATCGAGAGGCTGAAGTGGGTCAAACCGTTTCTTATGGCCTTTATTCCTTATTAAATTCAGAGCCTAAACAATACTCAGCTGTTAACATCACTGTTTATCCTCCACCCCCAAAAGGTGAGAATCAGGTCCTGAACCTCATTGCTGGCTTTATTCAGGTATTTGTTAAGGTATTGCCATTAACCATATTAGAAATTAAAATGTAGAAAAATTTTTAATATTTAGTTCATATTAAAATACTTATAATAAACCTATTACATGTTACCACAATGTATTTTTATGAGCAATAGCTGCATATTCCCAAACCAAAAAATTAGTGAGAAGAGTGGCACTGCTTTTCGTTTTGTAAATCTCTATCATGTCTGGCTTAACAATAGAAAACTAAATTCTTATATCTACCTCTCTATTTAATGTAGTGATATTTTGTTTTGATTGAAATACATGAAGAAAATCTGGTCTCACAAATATATATCGTTGGGAAAAGGAAGAATATTTTAATACCCTTTTTCAGATAATTTTGGATTATTTTTCTTTGATATTACACTAAAACTTGACAAGTGATGGTTTCTTAAAGGTTAGTTGCAGTGTGAAATCTAAAACCCTGTCAAGGAAATCCATTGATCTTTCACTTTGAATAGCTCCTTTATTTATGTATGATTGATTCTATAATGACATGCATTTTCATTTGGAAAATATTTAAGTTATGCAGACCTTCCAAATATTGTCATGTGTCATTATACAATATCAAAAGAATCACATTTATTAATATGATTACTGATCTCATCATAAAAGTCTTTTAAGTGTTGGGAAGCTATTAAGCATATGCCTGGGGTGCATATGAGTTTTCCAAAGTTCCTTTTTTCACTTGAAAGCTTGAATTTTATCATTGGTAACAAGTATTTGCAATTGTTTTCCATGAAGGGACAGATTTATTTCATTAATTCTTGTGAAAATATCTGCCAAATACCCAAATCAGAATACTACAATTTGTGTCATTCATTCTAGTAAAAACACTGTTCTGTGGAAAAAACATGGTTAGTTCAGCTCTTGACTCAAATGGTGGTACAAGTGTTTCAAGACAACTGTCATACTTCCCTATGCAGAAGTGCTTTCTGGGTACTTTCCCATTTTATCACATGGGATATTAAAAAGATGCATACTCAATAGTCTAGATTTATTAAAGTACTGCTTCATCAGGGACATGCTTAAGTTAAACTAGCACATGGGAATGAAGAATAACATACCTACCAATACACTTTGGTACCACTGCCTTGATTCATGCTTAAGTGCTTTTTGCACTGTCAGTACAAATGTCAACAGTTAAAAATGGTAACAGATAATTAGCATTATTATGAAATGTTTTACTATTATTAATAAAATTAGCATTACTATTTTATAATTTTTCTGAAAATAATTTTTTTTAACTTGGTATCCTTCCTGAAAGGCTCTTGGGGACCTTCAGGGGTCAGTACACCACACTTTGAGAACTGCTGATTTAGAGCCTTGCAACTCTGTTAGGTCAGCCTTGAGATAACAGAATGAACATGTATCTGCATACATGGAAATTAGTGCCAGGATTTAAAATTTATCAAAGCAAAGTAATGAAAACTCTTGGTCTTCTAAGAAGCATATTGTTTAGTTTACTCTTCTTCATGCTAGAATAACAGCAACTAAAATATATGTAACATCATGTTCCTTAAGTCCTTTATGTAATACTATCTCATTTAATCCTCACACTAACTCTATAATGCTAGTGTGTAATACCAATATATTCTAGTACATGATACCATGATGTTTTTTAGGTCTCTCTGATTGTAAAGGTCTTTCTCTTAGTTATTATGATTTACAGTTTATATTTTTATCATTTATATATTCCTTTACAATATATTTGCATTAGTGTTGGTTCTGGTACCTGGATTTTCTGGTGAATTGGAGCAAGACCCATCTTAACATACTATGGATGAATTTCCACGTAAGCACCATTACATCACTAAGGGCAAAACATGAAATTTTCCTTCTTTGAAATCCTGATATTTCCAAATATGACAACGCTCATCCAATTTTCCCAAGTTGTTTACTTCTGTTAACATCTTGATCTGTAAAAACTGGGAAGTGTAAAAGACAAAACATTTCCCAGAAAATTTGTTTTGAAAAAGCCAAGTGTTGAAGAAACATGAAGAGCTGGCAAAATGTGTGTTAAAGCAGTTCTGTGCTTGGTATTTTCATTTAGCAATGATGTGTGTGTGTGTGTGCGTGTGCACACACATGTGCACCCACGCTTGAACATGTATGTTTTAAGCTTTGTATTTTATTTATGAACTAGTTGTGGAAACAGAAAAGTGTCAAAAATTCCCAAAGTGTTGCCCAATGAATTTTATATTTTTTTAGAGATGAGTTGATTCAACATTTTGCAAAGTGTGATGTGTATACCTTGGCTGTTCTCAAGTTGATTTTAAGGGGAAAAATATTAGCTTCAGTGTGTGGTGCTCACCAGCCCCAGTCTTAAGCAGAGACCCTGACTTGCCTGGTGTAGGGCAGTGTTTTCTCTGCTATCCAGAAGCTTCATTTGTTCCTACCTCACTACACAGTTTGAGTCCCTCATTTCTTCTCCAGCTTCTGTCCCTTCCTACCAACACTCCTGCCCAACTTTTCCAAGCAAGAGCTCCTCCTCTCTCCCAAGGATTTGCTTAACCCCCCAGGTCCAGCTGCCTTGTCACCTGTGCCCATTTTCCCCTCCCCAGCTGCAGTTGTTTTCAGCACCGGACCCATTTTCCTCCCTTCTGATTAGGCATCTGCTGTCTTTCCACTTAATGATAAAAAATGTGGATTCACGCCAGACTTCCTGGGCTGGAATCTCAGTTCTGCCTCTTACAAGTTGGATGACTTTGGCTTTCTGTGCCTGAGTTTCCTCATTTATAGAATGGAGATAACAATAGTACTTACCTAATAAGGTTGGTCTTAAGACAAGAAGATTTCATATGTGTAAACCTGTTAAAAATGGTAGGATATGATGGGTACAATACAGGGTTTTGATAAATAAATACATAAAGTAACTCAGCACAAACACTCCCTCTG